ATCTTGCGGACACCTCTTGTGGAGAGGGGGCAGCGTTGACCTCTTCCTCTCCTCACGCTAAGGCGACGCGGACGCCGCCTCTTCCGCCGCCTCTTCCGGAGGCAAGCCCACGCTCGACCACCGGCAGCCTGTCCAGGCCAACTGACGGGTCGCTGCTGCCCCAAAGAGGCTGCAGCCGCGACTTTTGCGTTTGGAGCCGTGCGCTGGCCGTGCGCGGCCGATCGCAGCACTCGCGTGGTACCACTGTCTCTGTGAAGTGTCCAGTGTTGGCAGTGCCGTGGGAGGGTGGCAGTGCCAGTGGCACTGGCAGTGTGCAGTGGTGGTAGAGCTAGAGGGGCCTCTGAGTATCAATTTCTTTTTCTGACTAACACTACAAAAAAAATTGTTCCAGTCTTAGCCAGCAAAAGGGAGCACACACGACTTAGCAAGTCCGCACTAGCGACTGCCACTCGCCTAACCATGCCTTGTCACAAGTGCTCTCCCAATCGCGTACAGGCACACACACTCCGCCTGTTCTCACTGAGTATCTCACCCAAACACTCTGACTAACACTACGTAAGAGCGGTGGCCGGTGCCCCGCCATCGTAAGGACAGTGGCGGTGCTATAGCGCAAGGGGTACTTGGAGCACTTGGAAGTGGTGCTTTATTTCTTTATTTTCCCGGTGGTAGCTCGTAGCTGGTACCTGTGACGCTGTGGGCTGCGGCGAGCTGTGTTAGTGCCAGCAGTGGCAGTGCGCGCCAGTCCCGTGCCCCGTGTTGTGCGAGGGAGTCTTCCGTAAATTCTTACAGTTGGGTTAAGATCCGTTAGCGGGAGATCGGCGGAATTCCTAGCACACATTCGCACAAATAGAGTACCTCCCCCCACAACCTACTTATCAGTTCGCGCTGACTTCTATGAACACTGCGCCCGAAGTGGGGTCACCTCTTACTGAACCTGATGCAGTGCTCCCGCAGGACTCTACTCACGGCGCCTTGTCTCTTTTCACCGTGGCTTGCAGCGCTCCAGCGAGAACGCTTGATGGTCGATTGAGTTGCCACTCTCCCTGCCGCCGCCTCTGCTCCTGCTTGGTGGCGACATGCCAAGGACGTCGGATTGCGCTCAGTCCGTGGCCGAGGCGTCGCCAAAGACTGGCGGTGAGGCCGACGAGACTGTTTGCTCCTCTCCGTCGAAGCGCGAGAAGGCAAAGCGCGTCGCGTATGGTCCCAGCACCTCGTACATGGCCGCCTCGCCCTGGATGGCGCCCTCCGCCATGGCTGCAGTCTTGTAGTAGCCTGTCGCCGGGTACTCATCCGTCTTGCCGTTCCTCGCGCTCGACCAGGAGAACGACTGCCCCACAATACCGTGGGGGAGGCTGCGACTCGCTGCATCGCCGTGCGACTTGAAGTCGACGTCGAGCCGGTGCGTTGGGCCGGAGAGGCGGTCGTAGACGGCGTTGCCGCGAGCGATGATGGTCCAGTTGCCGAGCGAGAAGGTTGCGCTCGACAGGTCGACCTTGATGCTCAGCTCCTCACACGTCTTGACGCCACCAGGACCAAGGTTGAAATGGTGTCCGCCGCACGAGCCGCCGATCATCCGCCAGCCCCAGTTCGCGTCGTTCAGCTTCGACGCCCAGAAGGAGACGTTGGCCCATTTGCGTTTCGTCCCACCGACGCGCGCCACGATGTGCGCCTCAGTCATGAAGGACCCGTCCACCGTCAGCTTGCCGCCGTGCAGCTTGAAGGAGGCCGCCTCGGTCTTCACGTTCACCGCCAGGTTGGGCGCAGACAAAAAGTTGTAAATCTGGTTGTCGCGGCCGCGGAAGTCAGCGCGGCCCCCGTGGGCAAAGTGGAGGTGGGGATCCTGCTCGCCGTAGGCATAGCTGTACTGCAGCCTACGCCGCGCGCGCCCCTCCACCTCGGCCTTCGTCAGGCAGCGGGAGGGGTCGGCGGAGCCCTCGCAGCAGCGGGGAGGCAGCTTAGGGAAAGTGTGCTCGGCGAAGGTTGGCAGCTCGCGCGCGACGACGTCGCATGCCCCACGCGTCGATGTGTCCGCCTCGGCCGCCATGTAGGCCTGAAGGAGCACGTCGCTCACGAAGCGCGGGCGGGCCGACGCGCCGAAGCCGTGCGACTCCATCGACCTGTCCTCTGCCCACTGCCAAGTGTTGCCGGCGTGGCCGCCATGGCGCGTGTAGACGGAGGGGACCGCAACCTGATGCGAGAGACCACACACACACTCAGCACATGCGGGTTGGGCGAGGCCACTTCAAGCCGTTGGGCGAGGCGACTACATGCTCAAGCAGGGCTGCGAGCGGGCAGCAACGAGCGGAAGAGTGGCAGGAGCAACAGAGCTTGGTGAATGCGCGCGCCGTTGCAAGTTGCTCGCAGCTCGAGAGGCCGGCTTGGATGAGTCCAATGTCCTCGCCGAGGGAGACGTTGGGGAACAGGCCGAGTGCGAGCGCCGAGCTCTTCTTGTACGCCAGCGAGGCGGGCATCACCTGCGCCGCGCCGCTCTTCTTGACAGAGTACCACTGAGGAGGACCGCCAGCCGCATGAGCTGCCGCGTGCGAGTAGACGAGGGCGCTCATGCGAGCTGTGTTGTCGAGGAGGGGGGCAATCTGGGCCTCGATCCGCGTCGGGTCGTACAGATCGTCGTCGTCTCAGTGCACCAGGATCTCGCCACGTGCAGTGAGCACAGCTGCATTTCGCTTCTCGCCGACTGTGGCCCGATGGTCAAACTGGACAACCCGCACGTCGAGGAGATTGGCGGAGGATGGGGTCGTGAACGAGGACGCGGGGTGGACGTGGAGCCTCGGCTCGCGGCTCAAATCGACGGGTGTGCCGTCCACCACCAGAACCACCTCGAGGTTTGGGTACGACTGCTCGTGGATCTGCGCGAGCGCGAGCTTGAGGTACTCAGGCCGGCCGCATGTCACGAGCACAACGCTAACCAGCGGTTTGCTGTGGATTCCAGTGACTTGAGCCGCCGCCGTGAAGGCGCACGCCAGGGCTAGGAGCAGGAATGAAACCGCGCGGTGCATGTCAAAAGGCGTTCTCCTGACGGTGAGGTCAATTCCAGGCGGTGCCCACTCCCCATAATCGAAACTTGTGGGGTGTCACGGCCAGCCACAGGCCGTGTTTCGTGCGAGGTTCAAAGACAACCGGAGATTCAGCACGCGACATTGCAATTTGCATTGGCCGCGCGTTTTGCCCACCCCGCACCCCCTTTTCCGTTTTTGCCGTCTCCCAACCCGCTCTGGCGCGCGCGATCGGCGCCGATTGGTGCCCTAGTCGGACAGTGCAACGGACGCGCGCTCTGCGCGCCTCACAAGCACTTGCTCAGAGCTCTGCGCAGAGGCAGAGAGAGAGCGCGCCCTCCCCCCGCCCCCCGGGCTGCTGCTGGCGCGCCGCGCGCGTGCGATCCCTCTCTCGCAGTCGGTCGGTGTTCGCCGGGCGTGCGAGTTTTAGAGCTAAAATACATCACAAGATGCACACGCTGCGTGGTCACCGGCGGTCGTGTCCACATGCGCAATGGCGCAATGGCGGGCAGCGCCAACGCGCAGGCCCATGTTTGCGCGCGACATGCACGCACGGGTGTGAGTCCTTCGGTAAGGTAGCGCGGGTTAGCGCGGGTTAGTGCTCACTAACCCGGCACGGGTTAGCACGGGCCAGAACGGGTTATCATAACCCGACGCTAACCCGACGCTAACCCGGCACTAACCCGTGCGGCTGGGGGGCATACGTCAGCAGGGGTTTGCGCCGGGTTAGGGGTGGGTTAGGGCCGGGTTAGAGCTGGTTGGCGAGATGAAACGGCTGCTGCGGCGGGCACTTCTGTTAACATATTCTGCCTTAACAGGTCGGCATGGTCTTCTGGTAACAGGCATGTTGTTGGTAACTTGATCGAATGTCGCCGAGGTCGCGGACGAGCACTCGGTGTACATCGAAAGCCTGGGCGGCCGGTACGTCTGGGACGAGGCTCGCTCGTGCTGGAAGTGGGTCGTCTACGTCGACTAGAGCACGTCCCTCCTCACTGCTCCGTGCACGCCTGACGCCCAGTCGACACACCTCCCGTTGCGCCCATGGCCTCCGCTACAGCGGCATGCGGGCTGCAGGGGCGGCCCGGCCCTCAACGTGTGCCAGTGATGGCCCTAGGGAGGAGGAGTGAGAGAGAGAGAGATTAGTTGTTGTTTGTTTGGAGTGAGTGCGCTGAGTGAGGGCGGTACATTATAGATCCTGTGGCATGAGACTGTCCCGCTCGCCATGCGCCCGCGGCTGTGGTGTGGCGAGTGAGTGAACGCACGAGAGAGGGGCGGTACGAGCCGTAGAGCTCTAACCCAAACCTAACCCGAGACTAACCCGAGCGAGACTAACCCGACGCTAACCCGCGCTGCTCGGGGGCATACGTTAGGACGGGTTAGTGCCGGGTTAGCGTCGGGTTAGCGTCGGGTTATGGTAACCCGTTCTGACCCGTGCTAACCCGTGCCGGGTCAGTGTGGCTTAACCCGGTGGAACCCACGCTAACCCGCGCTTACCGAAGGACTCACACGGGTGCGGGCGAGGCCCACCCGTACCAAACGAAGACTGCAGGCTTGTCGGGACTCGGAGTCGACGGGTACGCAGCGGCATGAGCTTGACGGCTGTCGTGCCCGCAGCACGCATATTGTTCACCCGGCCGCTGCTCGAGCGCGCTCTCGGCTCTCGCTAATATGGTTCGCTCCGGCGGCTCGGGCAGACCCTACTCCCGCGAAGAAATCTGCTGGGGCTCCTTCGAGCGCAACACGGGTGCGTGGTGTCCGTTCACCGAGCAGGACGCCATCGAGGCCGCCTATCAGGCGAACGAGGCGTCGATCCACCTCCCCGCCTGCTTTGACGCGACGGTGCACTTTTCTGAGCCCCATTGCTTCCAGCGAACGCCCGCGGTCGGCTCCAAGCCGTCGGGGTTCCGTTCCGTCCTTCGCGGCGAGGTGACTCTCAACCTCCCTCTCAAATCCCCCTGCGACCGCTCACCGCCGCGTCCCATCGCTTCGAGGTGGGCAGCGTGGTGCGGCTGCATTACTGGGCGAGCAGCAAGACGTTTCGGCTCGACGCGCCGACGAACGAGCCGCCCTCGTACGTGGTGGATGTCAAGATCGAGGCCGCGCCCCAGGAGCGGCCGGCTGCCTGGCAGTGGCTCGATCTCCCCCCGAGCGCGCTCGCGTCTGCAATGGACCTCAACTGGCACTCGTTCGCGCCGGAGCACTCGGAGGCGATCGAGCAGGCGTCGAGGGCGACGATGGGCCGCGTGGAGATCATCATCGGTCTGACCAAGTACGTCATCCAAAACTTCAACGGCGCGTATGCCGAGCAGCGAAACGAGAGGACGGGCGCGCGCAGGTCGGTGCGGCGTGGCTACGCGTCGGATGCAGCGCCGCCCGCGGTAGCCGCAGCGGAGCACGTCGTCACAGGCTGTCCGCACGGCCCTCACCCGTCGCCCGCCGTGCCGTGTAGGCGCCCGACGATCTGGCCTCAGACTTTTGCGGGTGCGGAGCCGCCCCGCCGAGACGACGCCTCCCCGAGACGAAGCCACGAGACGGATCCTCGAGACGGAGCCGCACACGCGCCTCCCTCCTCCCCCTCCTCCCTCTCCTCCCTCTCCCTAGACACCCCTCTCCCCAAACACCCCTCGCCACACGCCCCTCGCCACACACCCCTCCTCCTCTCTCTGCCCCTCCCGCCCTCCCTCCCGTGCACCCCGCCTCGCGGCCTCCCTCGCCCTCGTCCCCTGCCCGCCCTTCCCCACCTCAGCCTCCTCCCCTCCCCCCCCCCCTCCCCCCCTCCCCTCCTCCCCTCGCCGCAGCCTCTGCACCGAAAAGTTCTCAGAGACGGCGCACTCGGGCCCGCCCGCCACCCGCCTCCTCACGCACTCACCAGTGACTCCACGGCTGGATGCTGCTGTAGGCACACTGGCCCGTCCACCGGCTGCCTTCTAGGAACCTTCTAAGAACCTTCTAAGAACCTTCTAGGCACACTGGCCCGTCCACCGGCTGCCGGAATGCGGACACGCGTGCGCGCCCCCCCCCCCCCCCCCTCCCCTCCCCTCATCCTCGGGCTTCTCAACCCCCCCCCCCCCCCCTCTCCCCCCACGGCGTGCCCGCCGCCTGTCCGCAGCTTCCACCACTCTTGCATCCAGCATGTCCTCACCGCGCCGAACGCATACACGAGGAAGTGTCCGATCTGCCGCCGCACCCTGGCCCGCCCGCCCGTCGCACCCAGCTCCAGCATTGCGCAAGGACGACCGGCACCGGTCCGCGCCACTGTCATAGCCGAGAGAGAGCCCGGGAGGGGACCGCCAGCTCGCACTTCCCCAGCTCTTCACGGCACGAGGTCAGCCACACACCTCGCTACTCCCCAGAACTTGCTCGGAACCTTCCGGGCGCGTAGTCGGGCCGGGGCCCGGCACGGTTCACACGGCGTTGACGGAGCGTGGCATCCCCCCCCCCCCCTCCCCAGGGCCTCCAGGGCTCGCACCTCAACCTCTCATAGACTAGCGCGCAGCGCCATGGCAGGCATTTTCTTCTCAACAACAAGTTCTGTGAAACTAGGCGCCGCGGCCGGGGACGGGGGGCGGCGGCCGCGTGGGGATGGACCCCGACGAGGCCCGCCGCTTCGTCAACCCGCGCAACCTCGGCGACTTCTCCTCTTCGGCACAGGACACCTATGTCGGCCGAGGGCCGTCGGCGCGTACGCCGTCGTCGCGGCGGTGGTTTTGATGGACGCACAGCCGGGCCCGGAGTCGTATCTGACTCGTCGTACGTAGTTGTGGCCTCGAGCGAGGCGCGCGTTGAAGACGCCACACACCGCTCAGGCTCGTCAGAATGATCCTCTCTCGCTCCGGCGGCGCGGGACAGAGGTCAGACTCAGAGCGCTCCCAGAGCGCATGTGAGCGCTGATCGCCGCATAGTTGCTCGAGTTTCCCTGACAGTAGCTCTGAACGCGAAGCGCGTGTGGAAAATAAAAAAGGCAATATGTGACTCCTTATCGGCATATCGCAGGAAACCCCGATATAGAATATAGTGTGTCTCTGCAAGTGGCATTGCGATCTCCAACTCCATGTGATTGAGGAATGAGGAGACGCTCAGTCGAGGGCGCGCGGCGGCGCGCACGCTCAGACAGCCCCGGTGAGGAGGCACAGCCCGATGGCGGCTGCGGCGCCCACGAGCGTGTTGATGAAGTTGACCACCTCGTTGGTGAGCCAGCCGAGGCCCTGTTTGCCCTGCGCCGTCGCGCCGATGATCGACTCGACGTTGTTTGCGATCCACGCGGCAAGTACCGTCGGCAGCGCCGCCGCCGGCGGCATCAGGCCGCTCCCCACCCCGTAGCCGGCTAGTATGAGCGAGCCACCGACGCCCGCGAGGGTCCCCTCCAGTGAGACAGCCCCCTCGGTGCCCGGGGGCACGCGCCGGAAGGTGGTGCTGAGGTAGGTGGTGCGGCCATAGGCCTTGCCTATCTCGGAGGCGAAGGTATCGCCCAGCTTGGTCGCGAGCGACGCCACCACGCCAACAAGCAGCGCCGGCGGCGACAGCGCTACCGCGGCCCGGCCGAGCACCGCCCGCCGGTACGCGAGCGCGCAAAGGGCGGCGGTCGCCGCCGATCCCCACACGTTTTCGGGGCCGCGCCGGCCGCCGCGGCCCTCGGAGATGCCGAGCGCCTCCTTCTTCGCGCGGCCCACCTTTGTCACCGCGGAGCCACACAGCAGATAGGCCACGCCCGCCACGAAGCCGCGCCAGCCGAGTGTGGACCAGAGGATGACGCCGAGCGCCCAGGCGTGGGCAAAGCCCGACGGCGTTAGCATGCGCTCGGATGCGCCGCTGGCGCCGAACGCGCCGAAGAGCACGGTGTTGAGCGCCACCGCCTCGGGCAGCAGCCCGGCTGGCAGCAGCCCCGCTGGGAGCAGCGTGGTCGGAGGCAGGGCAAGTGCGGTGGGATGCGTCGACCGCAGTGCCGCGTGCACGGGCGGCGGGGAGAGGACGCGTACGCGGGGTGCTGTGAAGAGAGCGGAGGCTCCAACAGCCAGCAGCCACATGGCTTCAGAACACTCAGCGCCGGGCGAAAAGAATTTCCGCCCATCTCAAGGCCTTAAATCCTACTCTCGTGAGGTGTGTGTGTGTGTGTGTTTCGTATCAAGAATACTCACTCACTCACTCTCGTGAGGCTGTGAAAGTACGCCCAACCTAGCGGATACTTGCCCCCGAAGGCAAGTGCGTCTGTTCACAGCTCACGAGAGTAGAAAGAATCCCGAACCTTCACCTAAGACCGGGAGTGGCGCCCTCCCGCCTTCCCGGTCTACGCACTACGGGCCGCCAGTGGCGAGAACGGCCGCCGCTTGGCCCCAACGGACAGCCCGAGTGAAGCTGAAGGCGAAACGCCACCGCCGCGACGCCGCCGAGGGGCGGCGAGTCCGAATAGGACCGTCACTCACTCAATTTGGGGGTCCTCCACGCGCTGCGCTGCGCTCGGAGTCGCTCACCTCGGGATCGCTCCTTCCCTCGCTCCGGTTTGGGGTTACTCTGAGCTCCCTCCGCGTACGCTACGCTCCCTTCGGAGAGAGCCCCAGAGTCCTACCGCGCTCCGGATCCTCTTTAGCCCATCTCTGAGAGAGTTTGAGTGGCTGGCTAGAGACGACGACGACGATACAGTTCATGATAAACAAACTTTAGTTTGTGCTAGTGAACTGAGGAGAAGCGGGTCGAGCCTCGGCGCAGAGGGCAGCGCCTAGCGGGCGGGAACCCTTACCCCGCGCCCGCCGCTGCCCGCCGCTTTGTGCGCGGGACCTCCGAGCGACGAGGCTCATGACACAGCTCCCGACTAGCGTCGGCTCCTGCTCAGACAGGCGCCAACCTGTCAGTTCTCGAGCGACCCACCACCATCCCTCATCTACCGCCCGATCGAATCGCATTCGTCTCTTTGCGAGTTCCTCTTGCTCCAAGAGGTTCCAGAGAACGGGGTTACTCTGAGCTCCCTCCGCGTACGCTACGCTCCCTTCGGAGAGAGCCCCAGAGTCCTACCGCGCTCCGGATCCTCTTTAGCCCATCTCTGAGAGAGTTTGAGTGGCTGGCTAGAGACGACGACGACGATACAGTTCAACCTCGAGAGAGCTCAAAAAATGAGTGAGTGAGTGAGTTTTCTTGATACGAAACCACGACGACACACACCAGTCGACTCGCATCGGTTGCCTCCATGAGCTATTCTCGCGTCCACAGGTCCACACTCTCTCCGTCGTGATTTCTTGTTGGTTTTCAAAAATCTCTCTCTCACTCTCACACTCACACACACAGAAACAACAACTCTAACACGCACACGTCATTTGGGGCCTGGAGGCTGGAGCCCTGTTCACGCGCGCGCGAGACGTGCAGACACAGGGTTGCCAGGTGAGAGCGAATGGCGCGGTTCACGCCTCGCACAACAGAGAGAGAGAGATGCGCTCTGCATGGTGGGACATAAACTCACACACAGAGCTCAAAAAGAATTTAGAAAAAACAATACTTTGGATCGCTCCTCATCGCAAACCCTGTCAGCAGTCCACCCTCGGGTATGTTTGTAAGAGCCACATGAGAGAGAGAGAGAGATTGTGTACACTGAAAACTCTGAGCTCAAAAAAGAAATTTGCCGTCCCCCGTCATTTTAAAAGGAGGAGTATCTAGATATCGTCATTTTGTTCGTCCTCGCCGTCCTCGCGACGCCCTCGCACGCCGCCTCTCGCCCCCGTACGCGGCGCGGGGGGGCACTCATCGACACGCGCAACCGCACCGACTTCTTCATCAAGCGCGAGACCGACGTGCCGGCGCTCGCCCTCGCGGCGTCTGCCTCGCGCAAACCCAACAAGGCCGCGGAGCTCCTGCTCCACCAAGACGTCCTCGGGGGTGGGGGGGCGCTGTTCGGTGCCCGTCCGGACGTCGGCACCTTCCAACCGACATTCTCTTACCCGTTCAACCTCTCCAAGTTCAGCGGCGCCGCCTCGCGCGCCGCCGTCCCGACCACCGTCAAGCCCATCGGCGGCGCCGCCGACGCCGGGCTCGCCTCCTTTGGCGAGACCACCGGCGCGGCCATCGTTGGCGACGGCTCGCTCGCCGACTCCACCATCAACTCCATCGGTGTCACGTGCGGCGGCGGCGGCGCCCCTGTGTGCGTCTCTGAGGATCCGATCAAGGCCTCGGGCTCCACGAGCAACGTGACGGACTGCACGACCGCCACGGCCCACTCCAAGAGCGAGGCCGACGAGACGGGCACAAAGGTGTGCGACTCTCCGCTCTCTCCCACACCGTCTGGCCTCTCTCACGGGGGCATGCTCCGCCGCCCTCCCCGCCTCTCCATCTACGCCCGGACGTCCTCGCCGCCCCCCACTCTCCCCCACCACC